TCATATGAAACTTAAAAATGCGACAAAACGTAATGTGCATCATTTTTCTCCACGACATATCGCCGAAAGCAAAACGCGCTGCAGAATTAATTGCGCATGAGAAACAATCATTCGGACAAAAATGGAAAAATGTTGTCACAGTAGATGAATCTCGAGTATATTTAAATGACCACAATAAAAACACATCCATTTATTATCATCAAAGAGAAGAAAAAAATCTTAGAACATGGTTAAAAAAATCTAAAGAAAGTTTTTGAAAGGAATTTATGACTATTGCTGGTATTTCATATAACGGCAAATTAAAAATAAAGAGAGTGCAGAAAGCTGTTAAGATCAACTTTACATATTATCAGGAACATGTTTTATACCCAATTTTCAAATATGAAATAATTTCTCTTTATCCACAGTGCCATCAATCCGTAGGACTGCATCAAGACAAAGCTAGAAGCCACATACCCCACATACCAAAATCGACTGTTAATTTCCTGAAATAAAGTGGAATACGAAACGGGTATCAAGGCCTTTCCCTTCACTCATATCCCTACTAAATTCTCCTAATGGATCCGTGGATTTATATCCGTGCATTTTTGTGCTTCTGGACTTTTAAAATGCGGATTGACGAAACGTCGACCTATAACCCTCTTTGGACTTTGAAACTGTTTAAGCCGTTCAACAAGGAATGGGATTCTTCCGAGATCACAAAAATGCTTTATTTTATTGTCTTGAAAATTCCAGTGTTGAAAGATAGTGATAAGGGTTTAAAGTCATACGAGAGAACTTTCGGCTCGCCATATATTTAGAGTGCCCCCATGTCGCAAAGGCACTATGCATTCACACTCATACCTTTTCCGGGATTCGAACCCGGGTCCTTCGGTACCTCAGTAGGCTAACCACTATACCGTCTGGGTGGCATTTAAAGCTCGGTTAATGATTATTTTGGACACATGATGTATATAAGTATATAAAAATTATATATATATATATATATATATATATATATAAATAATAATTTATTTCCTAAACCGTATTGATTAATTGATTATATTATCTCCTAAGTTTTAATTAAAGTAGAATTATTTTAAAAGTGTGCATCCATACTGGTAAGTTATGATATTAGTAAAGACATAAACTAAAAATTTTAGAACTAATTTTCACAAAGACCAAAAACTGAAATTCATAATTAATAAATTTCAAATAATTCTATAAATGCTGCAAAGATTTTAAAAAATGTTAAAACCAAAAATTTTCAAACAAGCAGTACTAAAATTTAAAAAATTAGTGAAATTTAAAGAAAAATGAACATAACAGAAGAGGAATTCAGTCAACTTCGTCAGAGGGGAGGAACAGGGAAATCAATTGTAACCTCTCATCTCAAAAATCTTACTTTTCCCTGTACCCAGAATTAGCCGATGAACCATTTCGATGCATTTTAATTATAATAGGTCACCCGAAAATTCTGGCTATTCCCCAAAACAAGGGAAAAAAAAGTAAATTCAAGTTAGAATCTTGTACCTTAAATAAAGATAAATCTATTTTATCTAAAGAAGTAAACACGGGTAAGTAAAATAACAAAATACTTAGTGTGTAAGTAAAGTAACAAAATACTTAGTGAAAAATTTAAATCAGAATTTTTACCTTTAAACATATAGCATATAATTCTTTAAACATAAAGCATTTAATGCGCGAAAATACTAGGCATGTTTATATTTTTTTTTCTTTAAATTGTTTTGTAATTATGAATATTATTATATATACACACTCGTGGGGAAGAGCTCAATTTCGCTTTCTTGATAATCCGTTTCACTTTGCGAAGAAGCAATTGTATTTCAGCTTTCAGATATTAATCTAAAAATCTAGATTGCAACTTCCTTTCTTGTTTCGTTTTTGTTTTATTTGATACTGTTGGAACATTTCTTCAAAATATTTTAACGAATAATTTAATTTTCAGCTGTGTTGTACTAATAAAAGATATGAGGTTGCAAGCTGAATAATAATTTCTATTTTAATTTTTTTTTTTTTTTTTCCATTTCTGCTAAAGTGAAAAGTACGGATACTTCTTCTTCACGATGAAACATTCTATTACAGAATTTTGAAAGGAAACCGCGAAATACGAGCTGCTATATCCTTTACCAATAAAAAAAGAAAGGAAAAGAAACGAGAGAGGGGAAAAAAAATATTTAACAACACATGTAACAGGTACTTTTTATATTTTACGAAGGTTAAATTCCAAGATCTACAACGACTACGTTTCTCATATGCTATTTATTTATTTGTTCCAATATAAAATATAAAAATTAATTTTCGATTTGTATTAAAAAATAATAATTCTGCTCTGTGTAAGGAGAGGGGGGAATACAATTTTGCTTCTTATTTTATTTCTCTTTTCTTTTTTTCTTTGATTCGAAATAATTTTTTTTAATAACAAGAAATAAAATTCCCAAGGTTTCAAAGACCTTTGAATCACAGAAATCTATTTGGGTCAAACTACAACGCTTTTCCTCTTAAAAAAATGTGCCGTGTGTGTGAAATACCCTGTGACCCCCCCCCGATTCCCTTCATACACACACGTACACACCAGCTAAACCCGAAGCACTTCTCGGTTATATTTTATTTTTTATGACAAGGTAAAGTAGACGAAGCTCAGCTGATATGCACATCCCCCTCCTGAGCGTGATTTTTTTTTTAAAGGCAACTCCTCTTCTTTTACCCCTCTCCCCCCTCTATTACCGTTTAAGGTTCTATACGGTAAGTGCAATTCTAGAGTATTTCTGTTATAGTGTGCGCATGACTTTTGAAAGGGGAAGCGAATTCGAACTTTCGTCTCGGTAAAGGTCAAATCTGTTCCCTCTGATAAAGTATACTTACTTGTTAGTCTTTTTTGGTTATTTCTGAAATCTGTATTTTCAAAGCATAGAAGTCATATGTAATTGTTGAACCGGATTTATAGCGTGAAATAAGCATATATTTAGAATCATTATAAAGCTGGAAAAAATAAAATAATTAGCAAATCTGAATGAGATTTAGTAATAATAAGACTCGATTTATATTAACTCCGAAGAGACAATTTTTTTTTTTTTTTTTTTTTTAAAGATATTTTTCTTAATTTGGCACAGTAGACATAAGTTTAATGAAAAGTTTCTGATTTCAAGCTTTGTTGATTGGATATTACTTTAAGTTTAATAAATTTGGTTTGTTATTAAATAATAATAAATGACATTATTTTATTATTAAATATTATTAAGAACGAAATTTAGTGATAAATAGCTAAATTGTTTTGCCCGGCACTGAGAAACGGACAAAATAATAGTAAAAATATCTGAAACTTTTCAGATTTTACATTACGTCCAAAGGGGCTTTTTTTAACGTTTTGTGTGTTACCTTTATTTATTAATATCATGTTCTACGTACTCAAACTATAAAATTCAGTTCAACAGCAATATCGCAAATTAATTTTAAAATGAGCATATCTTTAGAATTTCCGATACTGAATCTCGCGCGTTGGAGATAAAAATGCTTTTTTTTTTTTTTTTTTTTTTTTTTTCCCGTACAGTGTTGCCATTGCTCGCTTTGAAATCGTTTAGTTTTTTAATCAAAAATTCGTTGAAGTGTTACAAAATCTGAAATCGATATTAAAACAAATTTCAAATTCAAATTAGGGCTTCCACATGCCATATTCTATGGAAGATTACGTTATTCAAATTTTGATGGCTCTAGGTACCGTTGTTTTATCACAATGTGAGAAACATACATACATTTATGCAGATTCTTCATCATTTAATTTCTCTAAATGTAACACAGGGCGATAATAGATGGCGGCAACGCTTTGAAATGTGATACAGCCTTTTAAAGTTTTAGACGCAAAATGCCAAAACGAAATTAATAGTTCTTCAGGGAAAGTTCCCCCTTTGAACTAAAAAAGGAAAAAAAAAAAAAAAAAAAAAAAATATTCAGTATTTTGTGTTTATTCTATAATTTTTTAAATGATTGTTTTTCAAAAACATTTTCAGTCTGCTAAGTATCCTGTTAATATTCTGTTTAAAATATTGACCTATATTATACTACACACAGAAGTAAGTTCTTTTATATGCAGAATTATTATTTTTTTGGAAACATTTTTAAATTGTACTATTTTATGCTAAAATTTATGCAGAGAATAATTTTTTACTTTTTTTGCTACAATAGTAACTACATAGCAATGAAGTGCTTTATCAAAGATTTGTAGTTTTATGACCATTTTTTTCGTTGGATTTTTAAGCATGCTAAATAATAATTAGCAAATTTTGTTTAATATATTAATTACTAATGTATTAAAAAATTCCCCTGTGATACTTGGGGGCCAAGAAAGTAAGGCAAAACAATGAAAGCGGCAAATGACATATGACTTAAAGGAAAAGTGAAAAAAAAAAAAAAAAAAAATAGAGTTTTGTTTGTTTTATTTTTGCGCAGTTTTCAAATGTAAAAGACACATACATCAAAACATCAGACGAAATTATTTTTAGGTATTCCAAAAACGCACATCACATTATCACATTTAAAACAGTAGTTATAATTTAAAATTTGGTGAATTTATTATTAATGAAAATAATACAGATAAATACAGAAATATTATAAAGAATCAAATAGTTAACACATTTGCTTTATTAACCTTTCTTCATTACCAAAAAAGTAGTATATATATTTATTACTTCCTAGTCCCCTTTTAAAGTCAGAATTAGGCCGCATACAAACAGCAAATGCACGACTCGACCCCTAACGATAGAAAGCAAACCATTCAGTCGATAAAATCCCTACGAATTACATTTTCCAGAATACAAAATCCCTGTATTTTTCCTCCCAAGTCTTTATTTTCCAGCTGATATGGATAAACATCGCCAAAATTCACAACATGAATATTTTTGGCGAGCGATAAAGACGCCATCTGTGGTAAACCTAGTTCCGATCTTGAGAAGCGAGATTTCGTCTGCGCAAAGCATCTTGGGATTGATAACTGACAGAACGAGCGAGCCTTCGCCCTCTAGGATATTGTTTGCAATTTGTTTTTATTTATACCGTGGTCTTTTGGCGCTGTGAAGTGGTTGTGTCAATGCTTCTTTGCGCTAATTTCCGTACGGATACATCGATATGCGCAATATTGCATCGTTGTTCGGTGTTATTGTGATATTCTAATTTATCGGAGATCGTGAATTTGATGATTATTTCCAGAGATCATTCGAGGAAATATGTTTGAGTTTGTTTAAATAATATTCTGGATATTATAAATGCGTCAATAGCTTTTTGGCGCCAATGGAGATACTATCGCCACAGGTAAATATGTATATGTTCAAAAGAATGCTTATCGACTCTTTGATATAAGAGCCTTTTTTAATCTGAATCTTTTTTGATCCAGTAATTAGATGCAAATATTTTATGGGATATTGAAATAAAAAATTAAATAATTTATGCTGATCAAAATATAAATGATGAATGCAAATAAATTGTAGTTTTAAATAAAAAAAATTGAACGAGTAATTTATTTTAATATTCGATTTAATAGTAATAAAATTAATTAAAAAAGTTATTTTGATGGATTTTTTTCGTAAAGCTATAAATTCTGATGCATTCATTTCAGATTTAAATTAAACAACGTATTAAGAGCAAACTATATGATCGATATTTTCGCGAATAGATTGGAAGAGGGAGATTAAGTTATATTGGGTTAATTGGAAGAGGGAGATTAAGTTATATTGGGTTAATTATATATTTAAATATAGATGAAAGCGCCATCTGAATACAGTGTATGAATATAATGAATAATTCTGCATATATTATTCTCTCAGGGGCCAACGCTGAATGATGAAATTATTTACTAATGAAACAGAAGTAATCAAGCTAAATATATATTGTTAAAAGATGCGATTTTCAATTGCTTATAAGAAATTTTATTGGAATCTATATGTGAAGAACTAAGTTGTTATAGATTTATTTAATTCATTTCATCGCGTAAGAGAGATAACATTACAGCCTGAATAGAAAGCTACTGGAGTGTGCGATTAGAGGTAGAAAAGCATTGAAGGGGGGGGAAGTTATGTTAGCGTCAGGCAGGAGGGAGGGTGAGTGCATAGAGGTAGGGGGTGAGTGGGGGGAGAGAGAAATGAAACGGCCGAGAGAAAAGACGGCCGAGGGGCAGAGGAAAGGAGGTGGGATTTGGTTGCATCGGTAGTTAGAGTGAAGGGAAAGGCAGCCGCGCAGTCGTCTGGCGGATTTTGTAGTATGTGCATCAATTCTTTATTGTTGACATTCGCTTCTGTCTCAAATGCGAATTTCACAGTTTATAGGTTCTCCTTGCGGACATTATGGATCTTACACTTTCTACCGTGGATTCCGCTACACGAAGCAAGGCAAGCAAAAGGATCTCACCTTAGGTGAATTTTTTTTCGTGCGAATTTCGGCCGAGGACGATCCTTGCATCGGTGAATTGGAATTGTTGTGTTCGAACAGGAATAATGACCAGCAATTATCGGCCCTCAGACTCTACTTTTTACCGGAGCAGACGCCGGACGGACGACTGGCACACCATGGAGAGGTAAGTGAAGTATCGATTTTTATTTGCATGTTATTAATTATGTCTTCTCGGAGTGCGCTTTTGTCGCTATTGATTAATTCATTCTTCTCTACCTTCCCTACCCCCTTCTAGCACCCTCCGCTCTAACTGCATTTCATTAATCGCGTTTTTTTTTTTTTTTTTTTTTCTAATTATATATTACGTTGTTTATGCGAATTAAATAGTAGTGTTGTATATATTTTTTAAAAGCGCTTCGTTAATTGATACTGAGACTCCAGAGATTGTGGATTATTTCAATACTATTATTTTTATAACTTAATGCAGTTTTTAACAAATTCAAAATTAACTAATACAGATTGAATATATAAGTAGTGTTATACTGCTGTTTAACATTTTTAATGATAAATAAAATGTAATATTAATAATCTGATTTAAATTTTTATGTTTACATATTTTTATGCATTCATGAAATGGGTTTGTTCTTTAATTAAATAATAATAGATTTGAATACATAAATTTGTTGAATGAGCAATATGTGAAATTGTAAGCTTATTAGGGCATATAAAATATATACCAAAATTAGTTTACTGAATCAAATTATATAATAAATTAATTGTTAAGGATCAGGAAAAAGTGTTCTTGTTTAGTTTATAATCATCGCTTTTAATTTTATGTTACAATAAATACGTATTTGCGCATTTATAGCTATCATAGAATATGCTAGCTTTATTATTATTATTATTTTTGTATAAATAATGATTGAAATATTATTAATTATTTGCTGCGAATAATCAATTTTTCCTAAAAAATGTATTTTTTTCTGATTGCGATTTTATAACGTATCTTGGTAAACTTGTGATAAAAATATTGATAAACTGGGCATTTTTAAGATTATGTTGCAGTCGATTTAAATTCAACGAAATCTAAGATTATAATGCAAAAGTGTTTTCCCTTTGGTTATTTAAGCTCGCTAGGTTTAAAGCGTTTATAATTTTTGTATTGTAGTATAATAGACGAGTTTATATATATATATTGTTACTCAATGCAAATCAAAATTATTGAAATTTAATAATTTTTTTAAATTTAAATTAAAAAAATTTTTTAATGTAGTTTTGAAAAAATTTATGTAATTTATATAAATTCTTTTTCAAGTTATATTTGCCATTCTTGTTATATGTTTTACACTTTTTCTTTTGTTTGCAAATATATTCATTGTATTTAAATAATTGCTTCCTGTTAACAAAGATTTTGCATTTTAATGGAATTTGGTTTTTAGAAGAATTTTTCAAACCATGACAAAAGTCGCTTTCAGCTCATTATTTTTCTCCTCACGCATGAGTGTTATTCAACATATGTTATCATTCGCGGAGAGCACGATAAAAATACATTTCGCAACATTTTCGTCATCATGGCGGAGGGGCGCAGAATTCAAAGCCCGAGAATCAAAAAATCAATAAAGCTGAATCAGGTGAATCGAGCTATATATTCGAAATTTCTCCATATATATTTATATTATCTGCAATATTGATTATTTGGTTCTGCATTATTGAGCGTTATATGTATCTTCGCAGTGTAATACGTTGTTAGGATAAAGCTAACTGTTTCTCTTGTTTGATTCTTTTTTCAGTTTTGCCCCCTTCTCTCCTGTTTCCTTCATTTATAAATAGGGTTACTGTAATAGATTAGTGAATGGTTTTATTTTATTTTTCTCGTTCCACAAACCATTTAACTGGAATGAATGATAGATTGAAGTCGTCAGTTTCAAGTCCAAATTAACGATTATTTGAACGGCATTTTTGTAATTTAACGTGTGATGAATAAATTCGATTGGTATAAAGTTTTATCTTATCGGTTGATTTAAAACGAGTTGAGGAACATTTGTTATGTTTGAGATCACGTTTAGAGGAAGGAATTCATGTATTTATGTAAATGATTTCTGGTTTTGTTATTCGCTTAAGATTTATATTTTAAAAAGAATACCGGTTAAGACTAGTTTTTTTTTTTTTTTTTTTTTTTTTAATGTTCACTGTAGGATTATTCATTTTGACATATTATTTATATATGAGAATTTTGTTGTAGGTGATTTAAAATTATATTTGACAGTATAGTTATTGATTTGAGAAGGTCAAGATTTATTTTATATTTAAGCATGAATGGAATGAATTTAATGAAATTGCAATTGAAATTCAAGGAAACGATATATTGGGATTGGTCGCAGTTGCGAGAAAAAAATTAAGTGGGTCGTAAATAGTCTGCATTCAATATAAGTAATGTATCAAGCTCTGCAGATATTTTAATTTTCTCGTGCAATGTAAGAATGCGCTAAAATTTAAAGCAAAATAGTTTATGTAATGGACCTTTAAAATGAGACATAAAGTATAACTATTGTATTATGTCAAGTGTTCTATTTTCCCCCGTCCCCCTTTGTAACTTGTAACTGTAAAAAGGGAATTTAATGGAATAGCAAAAAAAAAAAAAAAGTTTTATCTTATCGGTTTCGTGTCTTATCTATCTATATTTATGCGTGATTATTTTTTCTATACATATAACAGTGATGATGAAACATTTCAGTGTAATCTGTCAACTGAGTGTTATTTTTGTAATGCGATAACAATGAAGCCCGTAGTGGTCAGTTCTTTTACATTCATATCTTACCTAATTTTAATGCTTTGCCAAATATTACTTCTGAAACTGAAAAACATATTATATTACTCATAATGACTCAGGATATTTGCCTCTTAAATTTATAGAGACAGAGCTTGGTTGCATGTGTAATATTAACTTTGTTTTAATTTTCAAATATGGAATGAATATTTGACTGTAAATGATAATTTTTTAAAAAACTTTTAGAAAAAACCATTTTTTAAAATTTCTATTTTTTGTACTGTGACTTTGCAAACTTACATGTGCAGTAAACTAAAAGAATTATAAAAATAAAGCTTAATTTTATCCTGCTCGTTTTATTCAAATGAACTTTTTCAAATTAAGCCTTATTTATATTTTGGCAGTGGCATCGAGATGGAAGCAAATTGTTGTCTGTTTAAACGAAATAAATTAGGGGAAAGATTATGAAATATTTTCATTTGGAAGACATGAAACACAAATCTGATGGCTGTAAACAGTCCAATAACGAGAACTTAAAAAGAAAAAAAAATGAAAAGAGACTGAAAAAAGTTCTAGATTAGGATGGGGTGGTGAATAAAATAAAAAAAAGTAATGAAAAGTTCAGCTGGAGAAAGAAGTGGAAACTGGAACCATCGAAGCCCATCATAATACTCGTTGACTCCGCCCACATTTGGGGTGTACTCTTGTTGATAAATGTATAGTACGTGCATTCGTATGCTCCTATGGATGACAACATAGCTCGTGGGGTCACGCTGCCTGTAGCTTACTTCTTTTAAGTTTCTTTTATTTTTTAGCTGATTTAGCCTGGTTGACTACGTTTCCTGTATTCTTCTTTTAAACACCTAAAGAACCGTTTGAAGTGAATAGCTATTCGAGCATCTCTCTCCCCCCCCCCCCGCAAAAAATAGAAGATTTAGATTTTGACATTGATTTTTTTTTTTTTTTTTTTTTTTTTTTTTTTTTTTTGCATGATGTGCTATAAGTAGTTTTATAATATTATTTTTTATAAGCATTGTAATTTTTTAAAATTTTTTATGAAGGTTCATTTCTTAATATTGCGTATGTATCGTGTTTTTAAGTTTCTATTGTGTTAAAATCTCTAGATGTTATTTTCCTTCTGATACCACTTTTTTTTTTATTGCACTAGTCTGAAATGAAAATTTAATAACAATTAACAATTTTAAATGTAATTTTTAATATTCATAACTGTAAAGTAAATCTTAAAAATTAAGATTCGCCTGATATAAATTAGCCTTTAAAACTTTTAACATTGGTATTTTCTTTGGTGGTTAAAATCTTTAATTAGAGCGTTCCTATAATTAAAAATAATAATGTCAAGTTTTATTTATCTATTTGTATTTCACTCATTCTGGAATAAATTACATATAGATAGATATCTGTTACTACCATTAAGATTAGTTGATTTTATTCTTCCAGTTCAAGGGAAAGTAAAGTAACTCTTTGAAACAAAAGAATAATTCCGATTTGTTATAGATGAGATGTTGGAAGAGAAGAAGTTCTGACCTCATTTTCTACGTCGCTTCAAGGAAACGATATTTAATTCCAATTTGTCTCAATTCTTTTTTTTATTTCTTATTTAAAAGGTGGTTTAGCCGAAAATAGAGCAGCATTATGTAGGGTTGCAAAACTTCTGGTCATTTACGCAGAAAAATGACCTTCCGTAACATAATTCAAGTTCTTTCTTTCTCTTTTCGTTTATTTATTGTTTGGAAATAGAACTTTTGATAGAAGAGTATAGGTCATTATGTCTTTTACACTAAAGTAACAGGGTATTACTGAAACTTTAACCGTGTTTTGTTTGAATTAGAATTTAATGTATAATCTTAATATAAAGCGAATCAGAAATAAATAGATAAAAAGCATAATTCTTCAACAGTGTGTCTGAATAGAATCGTGCAAGTGTATATAAGGCATAAATATATGAAATTAATACAACGATCAGTGGTTAAAACTAATACAATAAAATTAAAATAGATCGTAAGCGGAACAATAGACAAAATAAGTAGCAGAATTTTGATGCATGTAGAAACCACTTGTTCTCTCAACAATGGTGACAGTGACAAAAGATGGCGGTTATTTCCGTTTTCGTTCAAGTGGATTAGCCGTGGGCCAATAGCATACATAATTTATTCTGACACAAAAATTTTTAATCAAACAGTACATGCAATTTTTTAATTTTTAAAGATTGCATTAGTTATTTCAAACCAGTTTTTATCTTTCCACCTCTTTGTGCTGTTGTATTCATGATGGCGAGTTTTGAATGTTTCGAATTTAATTTTTCCAATTTTTTATTATAAATAACAAAAAAATTAAAAAATAAGTAATGGTAATAACTATAAATAAAATTATTAAATAATCAGTATTATTATAATGAA